TAAAGGAGTCATTTTTACAGTAATCGTGTGTATTTATGAAGGACATTCATCACTTTTCAAAACTTCCCTGTATTCAATTTGTTATTGAAAAAAAACGATTGTAGCACACAACAAAAAACATTTTTGAGGAAAACCCTATTTCAAGATTTAAGATTCAACACACCCACCCGCACTCTCAGGTTTTCTTTTTCCATTCAACTCACTGCACCACCTGCTCGCCTCTCCAGCATGGGGTCCAGAAGCTTCAGCCGCTCTGCCCCACGAGACAGCCATAATTTTGACTCTCAATTTTTAAATCTCATCTCAAAACACATCTTTTTAAACTGGCATATTCTGTCTGATCATCATCCATCCTGTCTCACAAATCCTCTACACAATGATTTCATACACTTTCAATTTGTCTTTTTAATGTTAATTTCATCGATGTATTGTTACTTTGTTGTTTTTATCTCAGCTTTCTAAGGTGACCTTGAGTCACCCCTATTCACCTGTCAGGTTTCTGGCTGGCTATATCAGGCCGTTCCTCACTTTGTTCCAAACTAAAATGTCGTGGTGATTGAACATCTGTAATAAAGAGATGATACAACATATTTGTCTTAATGTGTTTCATTAAAGCCTTTGCAAAGCGATCAGTGCAGTACAGAATGCAGAGTATAGTCTGGGACTGACTGACGCAGAGTTCAGTCTAGCTAAAGCATTTAAAGCATGTGGTTAGACAACAGGGTTAAACAAAGTTCACAAGTGAAGGTGTTGTCTAAGAAAAACACAAACAAAAACCAACAGAAGCACATGTGTCACAGAGTGTGGTCAGAACATCCTGTTGTTCACTGGAACATCATATGCTGACTGAGCATAAAAAAAGACATGCTGGGCAGAGATACGAACAGAGAACAATATGTCAAATGGTATTTTCCCATTTCACATCAAACCTACTGGTTAGATTGTCACCAACCAATGTCAGACATTCATTGTCACTAGAGGGTGACACCTGCTGAGTTTTGGTGATGCTCTGAATTTTCCAGATGTAACAATCTTTAATTTAAGTTTTCAGTGTGATAATTATTAAACAGTTGGATGGATTATTTGAAATATTTCTAAATATATTCAAAGTCCAATATATGTATTTTGTATTAATGTTAATAGTCTCATGATTTAATCTTTAATCAATCCTGCAACCCATCTGTGATCATCTAATGCTGATACAGTTTTTGTGAGCGATGGCCAATATTTTCGACCGTATGGTGGAGCCCTAAGAGGAAAGAACTTCAAGGCAATAATTCCATTTCTGAGCACTGCCATTATCTCCAACCCCAGCTGCAACCTGAGAAGTGAGAAAGGAGTTGGCGCTGAGAAACAACATCTGAAAGGGAATTATAAGCTGGCCTTTAATGCATGTAAATCCATTTATATACTTGTCGTTGACTTATTTCAGGATTGCTTTGTGGGAGCTTGCGTTCCAACCTTTCGCTAAGACACCGGTGGACCATACTCTGAACATTATGAATGGAAACCCAAACATTTTTTTCAATGAAGATTTTACACTTTATGTTGTCCACACTTTCACACGCATTTATACACGGATGGCAAAGGCTGCAATGTGAAGTGTCAATCTTCCCATCGGTACAACTCACATTCACACACATTCATGTACACGTTCACATACATATGGATTTACCTTTCGGTAAACACCAAACCTTGGAGTTTAGCGTCTTCTCCAAGAATACTTGGACTTGTAGTCTGCAGGAGCCTGGAATCAAACGAGTAAACATTCAATTAAGATGGGGATTTTAAAGCAGAATCTGAGATTAGGTGGTAATGGGCAAATGTTGACATGCCAAAACAGATTAAACATTTTTATCGAGAGTGTCATGGCCAAGACAAGCAGCAGAACAGATAACAAAGTTTCCAATAAACAATGCGCAGTCACACATACAGATATTACACAACATACATGACTATTATACATGAAAAAAAGGCATCCAACGAGACCAGTTCCTTTTTTTCCCAATTCAGTTCTGACCTTTGAAACAGAATGAAGAAAAATGTGAGTCTGTACTCTTCTGTCTGATATGTTAGACGATACAAAGCAGACCTATAAAAGATGTATAAATGAGAATCCAGACAAAGCAGACCATCCAACGTGTACGTACAGACAATGATTACTGAGCTAACATGATTCAACCGCGTGACGTCGACTTTCTGAGTGACTTCATTAGGACTAGTTGCCAAACCACATACAGTAAAAACACATCCAGTAATTCACTGGCTGCAGGCCAATACTTGGAATCAGTGAGCGAAATTAGCTTTTAATAATAATAAAAATGTCATCAGAGTGAGGTTTTACTCTGAGTAACTGCTTTGGACTGAAATCAACACTATGCAATAGCATCCGTGTGCCCGGGCTATCTTCCAAACATCATACCTTCGATTTAAAGTCAGAGGTTTTAACTTTTGACTTGGCTGGATTGGATGAGGTTAGAATAGGTTTGCCAATGCATTGAGGTTTTTTGTAAATTCACCAACAAAGGAGAACTGAAAGTGTGTGAAGGGAAGTCGGATATCCTGTAATGTTTTTTTCTACAGTGTGACTCCAAGTGTTAAGACATTGACATAAAGGCGTTTTTCTCAACCTTGAATAGTCATCAGAACTGTGGGTTGTTGTTGATTTTAGTGGTCATTACTACATATATCCCATCTGTATGGGGATTGACTACCCAGGGCTCTAAAGGAGAAAGGGGGCCTTGTTGGACCTGAAATAATAGTTTTTGTTTGGATTTTTTTTAAATCTCAAAGTTATAACTGTCATGTAAAGTTAGAATTAGCCAAATTAATGAACATGATTCTCAAGTCTTTCTGAACTCTTTAAATAAATAATGAAACAACTGAGGCTAAGAGACGGAAGAGGATGGTGACGGATGAAGCTAAGAAGAAAAAAAGCAGTCTGATGCTTCGCTAGCTATGCAGATACACTATGTGTGTTTTAATACTGTACAGTGCAGTTGCACACAGAGACCTTTCACCGGGCACTAAAGTGCACCAAAACAAATTCCTTCATAATGTCACTTTAATCTAGTTTTTCTATTGCTTAATTTAAACGTCATTATAGTTGTTTTAGGGTGTTTCACAGAGTTATAGATATTTGAAGTAGTAACACTATGAATTTAGAAACTTCTATACACTACTAGAAAAAATCGAACTATATCGAGACCTGTTTTTGATACCACCGCAACAAAACTTCAAGTCTTACGAGCACTCAGTATTTGTAGTTTCTTATTACCAAAAATTGCAAACAACATCCTGCACACGGTCTAAATGTTTTGAAATGTTGCCAGCATATTTGTGCAGTTTAGACAGTGTGCACAACGTTTCTTGCAACTTTTAATGGGTTCAATTCTTCTCCTTTGCACCTTTTTTCGAAAATGAAGTAGATTTTTTTAAGCTTCATTTCTTTTAGATAGTGTCCATCATCAAATGAATAAGAACATTTTGATAGCCTTAGTTTAAAGCAAGATTGTGGTGGTGGTGGAGGGGCCAACTACCTTCATGGGTCCAAAAAAAATAATTAATTTTACATCATTTAAGTTGTTTGTTCCCAATCTAAATAATTCATGAATTATGCATGTCATCGAGTCAAGGCGTCTGCTCTTATTGGAAGAACACATTCACTCATAATAAAATCGTTTTAATCTCCTGCCATCCACTGTAGTGATGTGTAGTCGTGAACGATTCGATCAAAACGAACGAATCATCTGGGTGAACGAACTGAACTGAATCACTTACTGAAAAGAGTCGTTCATTTCTCAACTTCAGTTGCGCTCTCCTCTCTCCCATCTTGTGTCTCTCTATCTAGACCGTAAGAGTTGCTCAAAGCCTGCTCTCCCTCTCCCTTTCATATCAGTGATATGTACTGACTGAACCAACAGGACGGAGTTGGTCGGGAGCTCTGTGTCTCTAAAGCCCGCCCCTACTTCTTCAAAATTGAGGAAGTAGCAAATATATTATTTAGCAATTAGGTGTCGCGAAAATGCATGTGCTTTTTATAGCTGCTGTCAGTTTACAAACGGCTTTTATATCCAACTTAATTTCACTCAGCTGACTGTTTTAACATCCACTAACGATCGTGTTTCAGTCAGTACAGTGTGTGCGTGACTGAGGCTGGTGACTCGCAGTCTCGCTCGTTCACATTCAGTCAGTGTTTCATTCACTGAACGAACTGAGAGGAAGAGTGGAGCTCCCGTTCAGTTCGTTCAGTGAACGTACTGAGAGGAAGAGAGTGACTCGGAGGCGGAGCTCTCGTTCAGTTCGTTCACTGAACGAACTGAACGAGAGCTCCGACATGAATCACTGACTGACCGAGAGGAAGAGCTCCGCCTCCGAGTCACTCTCTTCCTCTTCTTGTACTGAACGTACTGAACAGAACGGTCGGGGAAAATAAATGTGATTGTTTTAGCAGCTTTCAGTTTGCAAACTGTAGCTTTATCCAACTAAATGCTCAGTTCATTGGTTTATTATTCACCACCGGCTGTTCACAGTACAATCACGAGCAGAACTAAACGTTCGGCCGTGTTTCAGCTTATTAAATTCTGATTCACAGACAGAGCTACTGAGAAGCACTGAACGATTCGGTGAACGAATCTTTTGAACAAATCACTTTACTGAACTGATTATACTGATTCAGTACACTGAAAAGAACTGCTTTTCCCATCACTAATCCACTGTCTGTCTGTTTCCACTCTTTCTGCATTGGAAAAGTTGGCCCAAATTGCGTAACAAACTTATCTTATGAGACTTCTGGTGTATGTGCTGCTCATCATGCAGTGAAACACTAGCCCTAACTTGGTGGGAGTGGGAAACTTCAGCACATAGAGGGTGGGGCGGGATGGGCCGGGCTGCGAGGAAGAAGTGGGTGTGTTTGTGTGTGTGTGTGTGTGTGTGTGTGTGTGTGTGTGTGTGTGTGTGTGTGTGCGTGTGTGTGTGTGCGTGTGTGTGCGTGCGTGTGTGTGTGTGTGTGTGTGTGTGTGTGTGTGTGTGTGCGGTTGTGAGTGTGTGCTTGAGCGTCAAGTACGGGCAGAAGGACAGCCATATAAATATTTCTGATCCAGGAGCAGCAGCGAGCGAAGGGAGAAAACTTTCCAAAAGTTTCACGCAGAGGTAAACTTACTGAGGGCGAAGCACAGGATTCATCGCTGATACAGAGGAGACCCACGAAGACAAAGTAAGATCCTCACTCACTCACTCACTTCTTCTTCTTCAAATTTTCGTTCTTTTAAAGGGAGAGGATAAGTGAACTTGAAGCGCTGTTCGCATGACATAACGGTTTCTTGTTGAGGACTAAGTGAGTTTAAAGGTAAATGAGAATCATCCGCGGAGAAGGATTCTCAAGTTCATCTAAAGAGACTAGACTTTGAAGCATTTTAAAAATTCACGACTTTATAGCAAAATTGGCAAGTTTATTGGATTTGGTCAAAGCATTGAAGCGCAGTATGATAATGATATGATTATGAAAAGAGCTAAAAATAAATACTTATTATCGAAGTACAAATTATTCTAAATATGCACAATAAACAGCAAAACATTAAATGACTAAAAATACAGTTTATAATATTAAGTCCTTAAAAAAATACTGCAAAAGGTCAAAATCTATCAAAATGAAACACAACATGAATTCTGAGCATCATTTCTATATTAAATAAACATACAGAATTTACTTTGCATCTACAATTGAATCAAATTTCTAATAAGAGAAAGAGCTTCTATTAAGAAGTTAGTTTACTGTTGTAAATGGTAAATGGACTTGAGCTTATATAGCCCTTTTCTAGTCTTCCGACTACTCAAAGTGCTTTTACACCGCCTGTCACACCTACCCATTCACACACTGATGGTAGTGATCGCTATGTGGTATCATCCATCAGAAGTAACTAATGCCATTCGTACCCTACCACTGAAGCAGTGGGAGTAATTCAGGGTTAAGTGTCTTGCCCAAGGACACATCAGTCATGTTGCTCAGCTGGGGATTGAACCAGGGTGAGAGGTGATGACTCTATTTTGTGTGAGCGACTGCACGTTAGTTTGTAAAAAAAAAAACCTCCTAATTGGCTTATCTTCACGCTCTCAGCCTTATTGGTTTGTGTCCAACGAGCTGCAGCTGATTTCATTTCTTCATGTTATGGCATTCCAGTTCTTTTATTGTGCCTTAACAATTAATGGGGTTTTTTTCTGATTTTATCAATTCATTATTTTTTTTACCACAATCAGCAGACAAACAAGCCCAGTGTAGTTGTTTGGGAACAGTGTCTTGAATTCAAAAAGTGCTTATCTCAGGGGCCAGTGGGCATACCAGCTGAGCCGGTATGCCAACAGAAACTGAGTGAGTAGAAGTGCAGAGCTGCAGAGAGAGAGAAAGAGATGGAAGAAGTCATGTGGTGGTGAGATGCAAGGATGAAGAAGAAATGCTTGTTTTCAAGCCTGGCTGAAAGCTCTATTATAAATCCATTTAAGTTTGTGAGGGACAGAAAGGCAGCCAGAAAATTAATCTAGTGGAATGGCTTTTCAAGGTTTTTGTATTAGGCTGAGTGGATGAGTCTAATTGGGCAATTTTGGGCCATTAAAGGTGCAGAAGTGAGATAACATGTCTTTTTAAAAGGCTCAGGAGACACCAATGACTAACAAAAAGGTTTGAAAAAGCTTTTGTACAGTATTTATATTGGAAAATAATCCATGTATGCAGCATTTTTAGGCCAATTATAACTGCATCATGTCCCAAATCAGCCCAAATATCTATTGTGGGTGAGAAAATAACGAGCCTTAATTCTCCCCTTTCTAACAAAAACATGCTGACTCCTGTCAAGCCATTTTAGTACATTTTATTCTATGTCTTTGTTCCCCATCACTCAAGATATGTAAGTGGAGAAAAAGCTGCACGGAAAGGGTGACCTCAGTTTTGGGTGGAGATGATTTTGCAGTGCTCACAGCTGACACGCTCCATTGTGTCCTTCACAATGATTATCAATGTTTGGCCAAATATTTTGATGATTTGGAAACAGTTTAAGGGAGTTAGTGGGATGTGACCAGCATATGAACTCAGGAAGACAAGGAGTTGCAAAATCAGAAGTGAACTCAATGTCACACATGCACACACTCACATTTATACACACATGGATTTTGTGTGCTGAAAGAGAGCGGCCCCTCCCCATCACCTCGTCTTCAGCTGCTGTGGCCTCTGAACTCTACAGCATAACTTCACTATCTCTGCCCTTTTCCACATCAGACAGCTCAGCTTGATTGATTCACATGACCTGTGCAAATATGCAGTAATGGAATCAATGCAAAAGTAAAAACAGTACTTAATCAAAGACTCTCACTGATGCTCATCAGTAAGTAGGTGCAGTAACTTTTGGTAACTTGTCTAATCTTCATTTTAGCTTTACGTTAAAAAGCCAAATGCTATAGTTTAACGATAAGAATTTGTAGACAGGCATTGAGAAACATGCTCATGTTAAGTAAATGTGCACACACAAAACTATTGGACCATTTACTTAACAGCAATTCTCTGATCATACCTCCACTGCTCTGTTTAAGAATGGATGTGTGTTTTCCCACACAGTTGCAAATCTTGTCTGGGATTTTTTTATATTCTACACAATTAACTGATTTAAAAAAAAAAACAATTCAACCAGAATTTTCAGTATTTTACCTTTTAACAACAATGTATGGCTATTGTTCAGTTGATTTAAGTCGGCATATAGGTACAGTCAGACAGGTAAGATAAAGAAGGTCTATGTGTGCATGTGGTGGGGGGTGAGAGCTGAGGGGGGGTGGAGTTAACTGTCCAGACTTCTCGAGGTGTCGTGGGACTAAATGGGCAAAACACCGGTGAAGGGAGGTTCCCACATTACAACCACAGGGATGTCCTAGCTAGATGGTTGAGTTGTTGGGGCCAACAGGGTCCATGTAGTAGAGTAGGTACAGTAGTATCAGCGTTGTCACTACCTGGCTATCTTAAATAAACAAAGACTATCTGTTGGTAGCAATGCGGTTTTAGTGGCCATTAAGGCCATACGGTAACTTATCAGTAGGGGCATGATTGGGAGGATGGGTTTCTTCACTATTCTTTCATCAGGGCACATGTATCTATCTCAAATGATTGTATGCAAAGAGGGTAATAAACAAGGTTATAAACTTAGCATATCAATGAATCCAAGCCACCTGGGAAAGCAAAGTTTTGTCAAAGTGGACGTTGTGGGGTAAAAAGTATAAATGAATGTTTGAGTAAATAAATGTAACGGCTCAGTTTGATTTCAAACACTTGTACACAGTAACCTTCAGATGCACATAAATAACAGTGATGCCACAAAACACGTACATGACAAATTCCCAGAACTGGTGAAGCCAGATTAGCCAAAGCTTATCAGATTTTTGATGAGAACATTGATTTTGAACTTAACAGTCAGGCCTAGAAACCTGCAGACAGGTCTTAGATTAAATCCATTTAAAATGCAGAGAATTTGCATTTGAGTTAACAAAGAAGGACGTATCAAATTCTTAATCTTGACTGAGTAACAGAGATCAGATTAGTTCTTTTGAGCACAGCAATCTGAGTGCAAAATTCGCTTGAACAGGTAATCACTTAGGTTGTGATTGTTTTATGCATCATCTGTCTATAATGCTGAACACCAGAGATTTGTCACTTTGGCAAAAGCAACTATACCTTCAGTAATGCGTTCGAAATTCTTTGACAGTTTTAATCAGTGATGGAGAGATAAGATTCAGATCAGTCAAAAATGTCATCCTGCTGAGTAGAATCTTGAAACTGTCATTTTATGAAGAATGCTCATCTCAATCTGTCTACTGTGCTTGTTGGCGTGCAATGCAAGAACAAAACTGAATGCTTTATGTTTCAACAGACCATCTGCGGATCAGGATGCTAACATTTTGAATGGAACATAATCTTTAGCTTCTGCGTTTTAGCCAAATGTCATGCAAGAAGGCCTCAAGTATATATTGACTACGCTTGTGTTGTTTTCAACAAATTCTGCTAAACATTAAAAACAGGCACCTGCACAAGCATTATGCAAACTCACTAATAGAGATAGCTATACGGAGCTAGCTTGTTAGAGGTGATAAATTCTGCTGGTGATAGTTGAAATAATTGACAGGCAATTGTAAGAAACTTGACACTTGACATTTCAGATCCACTCAGTCATAAAAAAACTACAAAATATGAGGTGATAATCTGTCCCCATGTATTGCGCTAGCTTTAACAGTGTGATGGTAGCATATTATGCTGCTCACAGGGGGCGGGGCCTAGAGAGGAGCGTGTGGTTTTGTTGTATTAGAAAAACTGCCGTATAAACTGTGCGTCTCCTTTATAACCCTGCGTTTCTCCTGACAATGTGAATTACTGCCGCTCATTACACTTTATGTGTGTTTTACAAGAGCTAACAAAACTACAAGGGTGCTTTAATGTTTCGGTCATTAGATTTATATTTGGAAGGGAGTGGCAGTTTAGAGATGAGCCATGGTTTTACATTGCATATGATGATATAAAGACATGAGACCAAAGAGGAAGTCCTCCTCCCTCTGCCTTTCTTCGTTCGTTATGTTGACATTTGGTCTGTGACATTTCACCCAGGGTTTTTACAATTTGAGGATGTGCAGGAAGGACAGGATTATCTTCAGTGTGACAAATGATCTAATCTCACTGTGATTAGTGGTGCAATGTATGAGGGCGGGGATGTGACAGTATGATAAATCATAAGATTTACTTTACTGGACACCTACACCCACAGTGGACGTGCACACAGAGAGATATACACACGGACTACATCACTCCAACAGCTTGGGTGAGGCAGATGGAGTCCAGCTGCTTGTAGGAGGTATGTGAGATTGCTCAAGGAGTGAGCCGACAAGGACGAAAGGCTAAATAGCCCAGAATGCTTTGGGAAATCTTGTTGGCCGCGGAGGGTGCATTTCTGGAACGTGGTAATTGTGGGAAAAAGTCAAAGAAGTGCACTGGTTGTTTCATGGTCGGCAGATGAAAGAGAGAGAGAACTAGAGCTGGGGGAATGTTTTGTTAATCAGACTGTTATGAATAAAGAGTCTTGTTGAAATGAAATGCACTGTGGTACACTGTAAATTAACTCTATGCAGTGTTGTTCCAAGATTTGCATCTTTTCTATCTGCTTTACTTGCACTGTTGTTAGGTTGCTCAACTTTTTTTTTCACAGTTGACCAGCTGTTGCAGAAAGGATCATTTTAATTTATCCTAGCACAAACGCACAAACCTTCGTCTTTTACTGTGGGTGTTCCTGAGTTCAGGAAAAGCAGGATGATGTCTTCTAATCTGTAAAAAACCATAACTAATACATTATTTCATTATGTCTCCCAGAATGCCAGGTGAGCGGTTGACAGTACGAGGCACATCAGATGTAGGGCGTTTCCCCGGAGCTGCCCCGCCCACCAGGGTGGAGCTGAGCATTCAGCAGGAGGATAAGGAAGGTGAGGGGGGTTGTCGAAGCTGGTTCAGGAAGATGTGTCCTTGTTGCTGCAAGCGCCAGAACAGCACTTCCTACGATGTCACAGACAAGGTGGAAATGGTCAAAGTACCGACCCCGGCCCCAACTCCGACCCCCGAGCCCACCAAGCCAAAGCCTGAGAATGGAGAAGCAAAGGAGATGGAAGGTAATGTCACTGACTATTATGGAAAATTGGGGTGTAAGAAAGGAATTGTTCAGTGTCAGTTATGTGGAATATGTTTGCATGTTGCACTACAGACACATGTTTAAATTTGTGTTTCCCCCCAGAAATGAAGCTTCTTGTGCATTCTGTGGACCTGCTGAGCTCCAAGAAGGGTCAGAACAGACAGGAGCACCACACCGACATGTACCACGGGGACAAGATGATCATCCGTAGAGGGCAGACCTTCCAGATAGAGCTGGAGCTCAGTAGACCCTTCAATTCTGAGACTCACAAGATGCATCTGGACCTGAAAACAGGTATGGGATGGATGGACAGTGTCTTTGCGTGTGTTTTGGAACCTTCCATAAAAATCTATAATTTACATTATCATGAGGCTTCAAGGTTTAGGGTTTAAAATCATATCATACAGTGCCATATTGGATAGCATTACATTTCCCAAGGTATACGTAATACTCTCAGGTTAACATCTAACGTAAAAAAAACAAAACATCTTTAAGAAACAATCAGATCACAAGTAAGCTCTTTGCCTAACAAAACCGATAAAACTGTGAAATGCAATGGCATGAAAGAGCAGTTTTAAAAACTGAATAATAAGCAAACTAATAAAGAAAAGGGACTAGAAGATATGTTGACAAAACGTGGATTTTACAGTTCCACAATTTATGTTTTGATTAGAGAAAAAGTCCACATATCAAGGGGGCAACACAGCAAAGACAGCATAAGTCTTTGTTAGCTACAGTTATTAGCAACAGTTGTTAGCTCAGGCAGGAGAAAATTGTTTTGAAAGAGATAGCTAAAACTAAAAAAATAATTGCATGGACAGTAAGTAAATGCTATACAGTTGAAATAGTTAAATGGATGCAATGACCACTGATAGGAACAGGTTGCTGAAGCTAAAGGACACCAGTTATTAGCTGATACAATGGGACAAACAGTTTAAATGGTTTGCTAAAACAAAAGTGAGAACTGTGGAAAAATGTATTAATAGTAATTACATAAAGGTTAGAAAGGATAGCCGAAACAAAAGTATAGATATACATATTTTAAATTATCTAAAAGACAGTAATATGAAGAAAAAAAGTTATCTTAAAGCTATACACATTTAAAATAGCTAGCTACATACAGACAAAAAGTTGTTGCAGATAGGTTAGAAAAAAGATTTGCTACATCGTTCAAATAATTTGCTAGTAGGCCTGTTTTATGAGTGGTTCAATAGCTAAAAGAAATACAGGAACAGTTGAAATCATTACCTTGTGCAACAGACAAACAGTCCAATTAGTTAGCTAAATGAACAGACAATTTGTTGGAAAAGATGCCTAAAAGTTAATTCAAAATACTAATGATTGGACGAGTTGACAGCAAAAAATGAGTATGTAGTTCATCATTTGTTGTTTAGGTAGTGTATGGTCAGATAAGAATATAAACAGTATAAATATTTAGCTAATTTAAGTTAACAGACAAATAACTAGCTGACAGAAGTCTATAAGTGGTGAAATGGCTAAAAATAAAATGCAAAAGAAGTTCAAATTATTAGCTAAAGTAACAGATAATTAGCTTAAATGGCTAAATGTTGTAATTGAAAGGTTGAAACAGAAGACATTATGTTTGGCGTTGATGACGGTTTCATCCGACAGGGTTCATGGGGTTGCACCAGACTAACAAAGCTATAGCCTAGTAGCTAGTAGAGAGTGAGTGTGCTGTCTGTGATAAAACAACTTATTTTTGTTCTTTGACTTGCGTGAGTACCCATTTAACCAGCACTTACTACAAGCCTGAGTTAAACACAGAGGGAAGAGCAACTGATTCAAAACAAAGCATGAGAAATGTGGTTGAGATGCCACACATAGCTAGCACGTTTAAATAAAGCAGCAGTTCAGCCATAACCACACCACAAACTTTGGAATCCACCCAATACCCCTCAGTGTTAACAGTTTCCAGACTCCAGTACACCGGACACCTTGCTCTGGTATTCACGGGCCTCATACTACGCTGATCCTCTGTGCACTTGGGAATAAACAGCCATTACATCACCGCAGAGAAGTGATTTGCTTTCACCTGCTGCTTAAAGTTGAATTGTAAGAAAGAATGAGGAAAAGAATTGACTCACAATTGTCCGAGCCATCCTCATTCGACAGGCTCTCAGTTCCTCTGCTTTCACTTTCACTGTCACATATTCTGTGAAGTTTAAAGTGTCGCTCTCTGTGTCGTTGGCGCTTTCCAAGCTGTTATTTTTGGTTAACTAGGAAGTCAATCTTTAAGTGGGTGAGGTTTTTCCAGCAGAAAAGAGAGTGTTTTTTTCATGGATTTCCTTTTAAACACCCAGAGATGAGAAAGGAAGTCCTGGCTGCCGTCAGATGGAGAACAATGGTTTCTTGATAAACTCCATATTCGCATGAGCAAATGGTAGCTAAAGCTCAGCAGGGTGCCACAAAGAAAATCGCTGAGAGGAAAGCTTCCAATTAGTCTTAATCCAGCCTGTGGGCTACAACTAAAGCTTTTCTTTTCTCTTGTTCATTGGTTAGCCTTTAGCAAATAGTAAGTCATGAAAAAGGGAAACATCCAAGCTAAACAGTCAGAAGATAAAACATTCACAGATGAGTGTTCCTGCAGAGCATGTGTGTAAGTGCAGTGTGGGAGGTTTTTATGATGGATGTGGTTTTCTAGTTTGATATGGTTGCGTGGGAACAGGCAATTACAGTGATCGGAAAAATCTTGTTTACTTGGTTCCCAACTATACATTGCAGCAAATTCTTATACTTCCACTTGTTGTTTAATCCAAAATTAGCTCAGAATCAGTCAAAAGAGAGAATATTAAAGCATGTTGAGAAACTGCACAGCTTCAATGAAATGTTACACACACTTAGAGATACAATTAAGTGCATGTATACATCTACACACATCCTCCTTTAAACACATTGTAGCAGTTAAAGTGATCCACCGTTGTTTTAATATTTTTCCCAGAAGGAGTGTTGCAGGGTAACAAATATATCAGTCTGTTTCTGCATTGTAAATTGACAATGTTTACATTTTGCCTTTTGTTACAATTTAATGGGAAAAAAACCCAAATACAACTTGTTATTATAATTGTACACCTAAAGCTTCAATGGGACTGATAGCTTAGCATAAGGCCGGGTAAACGACTAAATTAGCTCTGCTTAAAAAAAGACACTGAAACTCATTTTTATAGGGACTAAAATAAGAAAAATCATTTTGTAAAAAGTGAGCTTGTTTGCTGTTTTTCTTTATAGAGAACGCCTGGCTAACGGTATTAACAGTCTTTATGCTAAGCTAAGCAACAGTCTAAAAACTTACATTACATATTCAACTAACAGATATGAGGGGTTTAAATGTTATATAACTCTTATAAGCACATGTCCAAAAATATCAAACTTCTCCTTTTATTGGGTTAATATTTACACAAAAGATGTTGTTTAATACCACCTTTAATGTGTAACATGCATTGAATTACTTCTCTCTTTTGTTCATGCAAATTCTATCACATTGTATTGTTTTTATTTCTTCATTATTTGAGAATTCTGGTACGACATGACTCATATATATAACCTGTGTTGTGTAGGCCTCCTGCCCGTGGTGTCCAAAGGCACCCATGTCATCATTCCCCTGGTGGATCACCTGGAGGACGAACGCTGGGAGGCTAAGATTGTCGAAAATACCGGCAACAAGATCAAGCTGTCAGTCAACTCGCCAGCCAGTGCTGTGATCGGCCTGTATGGGCTCACTGTGACAACTAGCTCAACAAAGGGCCAAGCAACAATTACTTACAACTCCAGCAAGAACATCATCATGCTCTTCAACCCCTGGTGTGAAGGTAAGATTGCCAGTGGGTGTGAACGGGGCTGAGGAATGTGGAAAGGGAGGGAGGAAAGAAGACAAGACAAAGGTGATATGAGGTGAAAAATTAAGAAAGGAAAGACACCTTTATAAAACACTAAAGGAATGAATGACATATTATCTAAATTACTGTAATATTTTAGATGGAATGTCTTCAATAAGTCAATATTTTCCTTGAAGAGGAAACTGTGATGCAGACTTACTGTGAGGGGAATAGTTCCCTGAACATTGTATTTAAGAATAGCGCCATGAATCTGTCTCTACATACTGGCACTAAGTAGCTAGATGTCGTTTTTTGTGGTTTCATTTCTGAAAGGAATCCTGATATAAGGTTACACTAGGGTGAGAGAGGCCACGTCCATCCATGAGTATGTTACTGTCCATCAAACTGCTGCAGCGTGACCATGTGTGTAGCTGTGGTGTTATGTAACTCTACTGGCCACGATTCAAAACTGCTGCCACTCTTCGGTATCCCGCTTATGAACTACTGAACTATCTCTGTGATCCAAACAGTTTGTGAGTAGAGTAACAGACCTGCAATGGCGTCTCCATAAACCAAGTACATACAGAGAAGAGTTCAAACTTTGGTAGGCATAAATCAAACATATCTAACTCTATTTTCTTGGTATCGCCTTGCTATTTTCGTATATGTTAATGTGTTGCACAAATGGATGAGCTTTTAGTGGGTTATCAAACAGACTGAAATGAGTACAGATGACTCCATATAATCTACAAAAAGCAATAAAGACCATCAACATCAAAATTCATTATTTCATCAAATGTAGTTTTAATGCATGTTACAACTACTGCAGGACAAAGTGAGTTAAAGATTGCGGCAGAAACATTACCTACACATGTACATGACAAGATTTGCAAAAAGAAATGAGAAACTGTTTTGTCAACAGGGTGCTAGAAAGTCAGCGTAAACTGAAGGTTCCTCACAGGAGCTTAAATTAGAGCTGACATTTTTTTTAAAGCATTGCTGACCAAACATAGCTGATCAAACATTGCTGAGCAGGCAACTTTGACAAACTGCTAACCCCTGCTGCTCCCTCAAGCAGAAAACATTTCAACAATTTCACGGGCTACAGTTAATTCAATGAGTCAAAGAATGCAGAAAAAGACTTGCAGTGGACAAACATGTAACTACAACGGATACCTTGAGCAACGCTGATATAGCATGTCTTCTTTATGCAGCTAGTTGTTATTGCTAACTTGTCAGACTCCCGCAAACAAAGACATCTGTGGCTGCTTTAGAGGAGAAGAGCGGCAGTTATATGATGATTGTCACTTTGTCATTTTGAGTGACAGCTTTCACATACATATTGATATTTGACCCATTATTAATCTTTGCATCTAAAAAGAGAAAACAGTAAACCATGTTTTTTTTTTAATACACAAAATGTAATCTTTTTACACACCAAAATGAGCTTTACAGATTTTCATTTTAAAAATGTTTGTATCGAAACAGAAAGTATGTTCCACTTTTCTTTTTTAAATGCACTTATTACTCAGTTCATATAACATCAGGAAATGAAGGTCCATTGTTTATTCTGCCTAGTTTCTTCTTTTTGCTGAGCACTGCAAACCATCTACACAGGATATTTCAGCAAAAGAAGTTTATTTGTAACACAGCTAAATATTTAAAAAAAAAACAACAGTTGGCCTGGATTTGATAAAGAGAAATTCTGTCTTTCATTATGGCGTTGCTGCTCTTGGCAGAAATCCCAATCCCCTCTTCCCTCCTTCAATCTCCCTTTTCCTGAGACCAATCTCTCCCTCACGCTCATAAAAGTAAAAATCCGACAATTACTGTATAAAACGCCTCGGGGAGAGCTCTCAGTAATCCTGCAGCTGGTGACAACCTGCCCCTCTCCCTCACTTTTGCTGCATCCATGTGTATTTCCTGACTTTACCTATACGCCTCTCCAATCCAATCCGGCTGCTTTTTTGCTCTCTATCGACCTGATTCTCTCCCCGTTGCCCGGTTGATGTGTTCCCTTGCCTCCTCTTTATTTATATCCTCCTATTTGCGTGTGGTTGCCTCTCCCTACACTGCAGAAATCCTCGGTAAGAAGTGAAAACCACAATTATCACAGCTGCCAGACGCTATCAGCCTCCCCTCCCTCTGCAGTAAAATCTGAAGACACTCTCTGTTATTCTTCACTCTCCCTCCACCCATTACCTCCCAAGCATAACTTCCCCTCTTCTCTCAGTCGCCCCTCGTGATTTTCTTACCCCTTTTATTATCCTGTTTCTTTTTTCTCATTCCCATCTTAAATACTTTGTTACTTTGTTTACTGCTTTACTTTCTTTCTTTTTTTCCCCGTATTTCTTTACCCCACCCACTTGGATCACAGTGGCAACATTAAGAGATGAAAGAGAAGAGGATAAAAAAAACAAAAAACTCATGTCAGACGAGCACACCCAGCTCTGTAGCGCTGATGTCACTCAAAACAGGCTGTTTTCCCGTAAAAGAACTCAGGCCCCACTGCAGGGTCCATGGTCTCATTGTGTTTCTTAACCATTTCCTGGCCTTTGGGAGTATTTCAAGTAATTTGTGAAAAGAGAGCACATTCTTTAGCGCCATAGTCACTGAAGAGTTGAATAAAGCACAGAGACTGGGTCAGTCTCACAGACAAGGAGGAAGCCAGAACCTTGACCAAAGTCAATGTGATTAAAATACATCCTACAGTCCGACAGAAAAGGGATTCCTTGTCAGGGTTGGTTTAAATCCATGCCATGTCGAGATGAGGACTGAAGTGTGTACAATACAGATTACAGAATGAAAATCTCAGCGTTATGCTTTCCTTAGTGTGTTGATGTAATGTTTTTATGTCTTTCCAGAGGACACAGTGTTCATGGATAACGAGGAGGAGAGGAAGGAGTATGTTCTGAACGACATCGGGAGGCTCTACTACGGCACAGAGAAGCAGATAGGCGCCCGCACGTGGAACTTTGGGCAGGTACGGGTTGAGACAAGACTCATGTCAGAAGTGCTGAAGGCATAATTATGTCATTGCTTGTTCTACTCCACCCATTTATTCTACATCTCAAAAATGGGTATGGTAAATGGACTTCACATATAAAACGATGTCTTGTTTCCTGATCACTCAAAGCTCTTTTACACTACATGTTTTATTTACCCACACATTTACACACTGATGGCAGAGGGTGCTATGTAAAGTGCCCAAATGCCCATCACTACCACTCCCATTCAAAACAAAGATGATGGCAATTTTAGGGTTCAGTGTCCGAGGGCGCTTTGACACGAAGACTGCAGGAGCAGGGAATCTAACCTGCACAGACAACCCAATCGACCTCTGCGTCACCGCCTGAATAATGTAAAGCAGAGACTCTTTCAGAAGCTGAAAGTCATTTTTAAGGGATTGTAGTTATGGTTTAGTAACTTTTCATTCGTAAGAAATAACTTAAACTTGTACAATGCGTTTTAAACTTGAACTATGATTTAGATTTGCATTTCATTGAAGTATTTTCCTTTGCTCCTTATTTGTAGTTTCATGATGGAATCCTGGAAGCGTGCCTGTTTATCTTGGAGAAGAGTGACATGCCTGCATCTGGCCGAGGGGATCCTGTCAATGTGGTCAGAGTCTTATCTGCCATGGTGAGTTTGAATTTATATGAACATCCCACTATCTTCTTAGCATAAGCCAGGATATTAAAAATATTGAGGTCAGGAGTCCAAATGCACATATTTCATTCATACAGTTCACTCACTCACTTCATCTGTGTTTTTGTCAAATAAATTATTCCCAAAATGAAATTTCAAAACCTTCTGCACTCTGCCAGGAATAAAATACATATAAAATACCCTCCATATGTTTGTTTCTTAATCATAAATCCTACATGAACTCGGGTCACAATAAATTACAGGAAAAACATGCTTGTAATTTACTGTGTTATCATATTTTTCCAGATAAATGCTCAGGATGATCTGGGGGTCCTGGTTGGGAACTGGTCTGGGGATTACTCTGATGGAGTCTCTCCTGCAGCATGGAGCAGCAGTGTGGAGATTCTTAAGAAATACCACTCCACTGAAGGGACGCCTGTGTCATACGGACAATGTTGGGTGTTCTCTGGAACCACCACAACAGGTGACTGAGAATAACAAAGAGAAAAAAGCATGTGATGGTGTTTGTATGTGCAAACGCCACAAAGGATACCCTGAGTGTTGCGTTCCCTGAGTTTACGATCATTTAATTACCGGTCAAATGATCATGATCATGGCTTCAGGCCCTTTCCATTAGCTCTCCCTGCTCAGCAACAGAAAACTTCATTCATTGTGCGTGCAGGCAGGATCCCTCACATGATAGCTAGCTGACCTTAGCACATAGCTCTACAGCTGATAGCTCATATACACCCTAAATACACCGCATTGGCATTCCTGTCATACCTCCTACTTTTGTCACATGTGTTGCTTTCATTCAAGAAGGATAATAAAGCCTGCATGCAACCAGAAATACCTGACATAGTCGTGCTTGTGTGTTAGCATGTGGGAACATAATGAAGTTGAAGTTTTATTCATCTATCTCTGTGTCTTTGTCTCTAGTGCTGCGTTGCCTTGGTATACCTGCCCGCAGTGTCACTAACTTCCAGTCTGCTCATGATACTGATGTTTCTCTCACCACCGACGTCTACTTGGACGAGAATATGGTGCCGATCGACTACCTCAATAGCGACTCTGTCTGGTGAGATGTGCTACTTACATTACTGACATACCAGGCTCAAATAATGCCTGCTGCTCAATCCAAACCTCAGCATTTCCAAGAGCAGTTCCCCTTAACTGGACCCGTGTAGACGTCATGCTCTTTCAATTATTTGCAACTCGGCCTGGAATGCAGAGACTTATCTGGTATCCATCTGCCAACTGGTTGTAGTCTTTAAAATGTCCTCAGAATGATGGATGCTTTTTCTTTTTCTCCCTAAACATCAAATGCATCTCCAGCACTTTTAGCTTTTTAACAATGAAATGACAAAGAATCATTGTCTCAGTTAGCGGTTTTCAACAATGTATTTAGACGTATTCCATAAATGTGTGATACCATGTGACTGGCCAGCACACATATTCATGAAACCTAAGCAACAATTTCATATTTTTGTGAAATATGCTTACTAGTTTTCTTGATAAGAGTTAGATGAGTAGATTGACACCAAACATGTATTTGTTTGTTTGATACAAAGCTCAGCTAGGAGCTGTTTAGCTTAGCATAGCATAGCTTAGCGCAATTGAGGGAAACAGAGGAAAACAACCAACCTAGCTTTTTTTGTACTTTCTTTGTTCCACTCCAGCCCAATTGGTGGCAGCGATGTACTGATCGAACAACCTCCAAAGAACTGTAATCCACATCACTGACAAATCTGTCTTCCCGCACCTCATTCGTTCACTTATTAGCATGTAAAAGTTAGCTTCCTTCTACAGTATACACTCTATATGCTAAGCTATTTGAGATGGGAAATTAACATAGTTGAATCCTATCTAGGAACTTCCACGTATGGAATGACTGCTGGATGGCGAGACCAGACCTGCCCCCTGGCCATGGAGGCTGGCAGGCTGTTGACTCTACTCCCCAGGAAACTAGCCAGGGGACCTTCCGCTGCGGCCCCGCCTCGGTCAACGCCATCCGCTCTGGCCAGGTCTACCTCAAACACGACACGCCATTTGTCTTTGCTGAGGTAAGTGCTACAAATACGTGATCGATCTTTGTCATATTCAATGCATTTTGAATGTCAGGGAAAGATGGCTTAAAAAATTGAAGGTCTTGGAAATGGAGTTTGATTAAAAAGTAAAGCTTTTAGTTTAAATACATATAAATAAGTACTTAGGAGACACATTCTCTATCAGCATGCAACTGGAACAAATTTGTTGGTCTTCGACTTTTGCTAGATCAGGAACAGAAGTCACCTTTGTATTCACAGTTGAATTAAACATTTGAATTTTCTCTGTATCCACTCATACAAACAACATGTTTATTATAAATAATATCAAAGCATACTTTATTCACTCCTAAAACCAGTACTTATGTACATTCTGATTGGTTTGTTTGTTCTTCTCTTTCAGGTCAACAGTGATAAGATCTACTGGCAGAGGAACTTCGACTCCACTTTCAGCCAGATCTACAGTGAGAAGAAAGCTGTCGGCCACTGCATCAGCACCAAAGCAGTGGGCTCAGACGACCGGGCCGACATTACACACCTGTACAAACACCATGAAGGTACTGGGATCATATTGAACTTTGCTAATTGTATTTCTTTCCAGAACGATGTTCCAGGATCAGATAGAGTTATTGGTGCGCTGGCTGGAACTGTGATGAATATAATTTCTCGCTACATAGATCATTTCACTGTACACACAGTGATTCCTCTCATGTAGACCCTGAAATGGCTCCTATAATTTTTTTTTAATATGTGCCTCTGTTTGCTTTGTTTGGACCACTGCATGCCATATCTCTTGTATCAGTCAATAAATCCTGAAACATCAGACGGATGAGCTACATTCACCGTCTCCTCCTCTCTCTACCAGGTTCAGAAGAGGAGCGCATAGCTGTCGAGACTGCCAGTCGTTACGGCAGCAAGCCAGATGTCTACTCCTCGCCCATATCTGAGGACGTAAGCGTGGAAGTGAAGATGGAAGGTGAGGGACCCAAGATGGGTGCTGATGCCAAGCTGAAGATCTTGGTGAAGAACCAGAGCTCACAGCCTCGTAAGACCACTCTGCACAGCCAGGTGGCAGTCATGTACTACACTGGTGTGTTGAAGGGCGCCATCAAGAAGGAGCAGATGCCGGTGGAGCTTTCACCCCATGAAGGTTGGCTTAAAGCTTCTATAACACAACATTTAAAATGGCCTTTAGTGAAAGAGCTTGCTTTTAGTGCAAAACTTGCAACAGAAAATTATCAGTGGTTAGCCTCAGTGTTACAGCGCTCAAACACATTATTTGGGTTTGAGAGGTTTCCATCCTGACTAGTTAAATTCAGTCTGACAGCTCTCATTAGCATTGTTTCCCAAGCTAGCAAGAAGCTGAAAAGACCCTCAAAACACAAAGTGTGCACTACCTGTCCAGAATATAATAAGATACATTGTTTATTAGGTTAAGGACCGGGTATTCTTTTCACGAGGTGCTGGTGACCCAAACCGAGCTAAACGGGGGAGATAAAACTGCTAAGTTTAGTCTGTACATACCTAGCAACTGCATAGCAACAAAATGCTTATAGCTTTGTGTTATGCTATAAGTGTCTTTCACCATGAAGTGGCAAAAAAAAAAAAAAGAAGCTGGTTCAGGTTTGTCCATCTTATGTTTTAAGCAGATAAATGTAAAAACGAGTGTTACAGAACAGCACCAAATGCAAGCTAAAATATTACAACACAAGCTACTGGTCATACACGCCAAAATGGATGCATAAAAACTTGAAATTAGCAAAGGCATTCTTTTCTTTGAGGGGGTAAGAGGGAGCCTTTATGAGACGCTATCACTCTTTTGGCTGCATAGTAAATATGAAGCTAATGCTAATTTTGATTTAGCTTAGCTCTAGTGCAAATAAAGACCAAACAGTAACATCTTCAAGTTGCAGAGTTTGTCAGGTTTCATGTTACTTCCTGTTTGCACTTTTTATGTTAAGTTACAAGTTAAGTGTGAAACAAAAGTAAAACTTGGATTGTAAAAATGCCGTATACAGAGCCTTAACCCTTTTCTGGACCTCTCTACACAGAAAAGATCATTGAGTGGGTGCTGCCCTACCAACAGTACCAAAACCAGCTGGTGGATCAGGCTGCTCTGATGCTGACTTTGTCTGGAAGAGTCACTGAGACCCAGCAAGTATTAGCCAACCAGACCACCTTCAGGCTCCGCACACCTGACCTCACCATCACGGTACATTAGCAGTTTTTTAAATGACTTCTCCAATTTGACCGTAATTCAGACTTTGAACATGGAATCATATTAATTATATTCCCGCCCTGCTGACTCATTTCTATTTTTGCAGCCTTTGGGAGACGCTGTGATTGGTAAGGAGATGGCAGCCAAGATTACCTTCACCAACCCCCTGCCACGTATGCTTAAAGGAGTAATATTCAGAGTGGAGGGCCTGGGTCTGCAGAAGGGCCATGAAGTAGTTGTTGGGTAAGCACACAAGACGACTCACCGTCTTTGCATATATTTTGCAAATGCATTTCCTCCAACGTTTCCTTTCTGGACTTATATTCAACTGTTTGCTTTTTTATTCTTTTTCTTCCAGTGACGTCGGCGGTCTCTCCACTGTGACATTGACAGAGCACTTCATCCCCACCCAGCCCGGGCCCAGGAAGCTGGTGGCGTCTCTTGATTGTAAACAGCTGACTCAAGTGCACGGAGTGGCTGACATTATTGTTCACGAGCATTGAGAGGGCGCGAGAATCATTAGCCTCCTGACCTGCTTCTCTCACACCAATTGTTCTTCATGAAATATAAACAGAGAGCCTTAAATTAAGAGAAATGTGTGCTCTTATTCTGCATCTTAAACTATCTTGTTTATTTGTTACTACAGTCATTTTTAATTTTTTTGTAATATTTTTTAGTCTACGTTTAAGCAATTTAGCCAGTGTAGCATTGTCAGTATTACTATTTTTTTTTAACTGAAATAATAACTGAGAGAAGAATTCACGCTTCTGCCTTGCTCTGAATTTTTAAAACTGTTGTGAAGTTTGAGTGCGTGCACAGCGAATGAAGTATGGATTAACATGCATTCGTATATTACAGTTATTAAGCTCACTCACATTACATAAACTTTCTTAACACTAGTATATTTCAAGACACTGAACTTTAGTTAAGGGCCAAAAGTGGGGTCATGATCATTTATAATATTGTAAATATTGTTTTTGTATCATTCATTTCCTATATCATGAGGTGAGAAGGATGTGAAGCGTATTGTCAGACAGCATGAACCTCACCTGGCCCACGTGAAGGAAGGGTACTGTGACATGTTTTTGAAGGGAATGGTGCTGAAATTGGCATTGACATTTTGCAAAGGGCACATTACAATTTCACCAGTTTCCTTGTTTGCTACGACTGACTGAAAAGAATTGGTGCAGATCTGAAAGGCTGTGACTGAAAGGTTGTTTTAATCATGGGGAGGAATGCAAATTTGACATCCTTTGTTTCCAAAACGTAACCACTTTTATCATTCAAACCTCATATTTCAGAAAGCAAACCTATATGTTCCCCTTGGAAGATTGTTGTTCTGAATGCATCGTGTGTGTGTGTGTGTGTGTGTGTGTGTGTGTGTGTGTGTGTGTATAATAACACTGATTTCAGCTTTACAGTAAGTTGCAACTGACTCAACCGCTGTGAAAACCAGCAAATACCAGAGACCACAGAGGCCTTAACCCACCTTAGATTGACCAGGTTTTAGTCTGTCTGACACACAATGTGAAGGAATCTAGTTCAATAACATTTGACTATTTATCTCTCTTACCTACTTGAATGTTCTTTTTTTTGTATCGTGTGTTTTGCATTGGTAATAAAACTCACATGTCCCTGAACGCCTGACTCCTGACTTTTTTTCTACGCGCACAGACGGTTAGACAAGTCCTCGAGGGAAACTATGACGTAAATCCAGAGGATCAGTCAATGATTTTGAAATTTAACCACCCAACCAAAAAGGAAAAAACTGCATGCTGCATTTGATGAGTGTATTACTGTAAAGTGACTCATTTCACGTGTGCAGCTGAATGCAGGTGACACACCTTTTCTCCATTTCATCATTGAATAACTTGATGACTGATGTAGTTACAGGTACTTAACGGTGAGTGATAGTGATGTTTCTTCTTTGAACTACACGTGAAGGGCTTTAATGTGTGCTGTGTTAAACCATGTTTAATAGTTAAGGTGAGGCTTTAAAGGTCTGGCAAGATTAATCTGCATCGCATTTGGATTTATCTCCTGGTTAGTCTCCTTTTTGTTTCGGGGGCAGTAACTAAAGTTAATTTACTTAGGAGTGGTACTATTTTGAACTTCATTTTAATAATGTTAAAATCCAAACTGAAGGAAAATATTAAGTTAGCAATTTACTATCTTTATTTTTAACATAACCAGATATAAACAGGGACCCAAAATGCACACTCACACGAGGCAGAGCTCAGTAAAAGCAGAGATTTATCAACAGTCTAGGTGAAAACACAATTAAGCGGTTAGCAGCGCAATCAAAGTCAAACAAGGCAATGTTCAAAAACACTACAGGATCCACGAGATGACAAAGAGGGAACACAAAGGCACACTAATGAACTGGCAACAAGAGGGAGGACACACAGAGATTAAATACACAGCCAATCAGGAGGTAATGAAACACAGGTGAGCACAATCAGGGTAGGGGAGCACAAGGAGGGAAAACACAGGGGCGCTTCGGAATTGCAAAGAGCCTACACAATGTGACAGTAGACAGTCCCTTCTACCCGTGCTGTATACTTGTATGACCTGCTGTTCAGTAAGCTCGCTCAGTAGGCAGATATTTGTTCCTACTTCGTCTGATTCATTCAGTGTGGAAGTGGCTTCATCAGCCCGCCTCATGTGATTGACACTCCAACTCAGATGTGATCTGCACGAGGGTTCAGTAAATAATACAAAACTTCACATTGCATGGAAGCAATTTAACAACTTAACATTTGAAAGGCACCTTACCCGAACCGGCTTCATCCATCCTTGTTTTGTTTTTTTCCCCATGCTCGTGTTTTGATTTGAGGCGCAATTAAAGTGACGTTTTACATTTGATTTCGCACAGCATTGTGGGTGTTAAAATACAATTCATTTCCTGAAAGGATGCTACAAACCATACTGCACAAAACCAAAAAGGAAGTTAGCATCCATGCTGAAATGTTCAGTCAACTGAACCTTCGTGGAAATTCAGTAGCCATTTTTTAGGTCCACCTCAGTAGACTGAACATTTCAGGATGGATGCTAACTTTCTGGTTTTGTGCAGTATGGTTTGTAGCATCCTGTCAGGAAATGCAGCACGGATAGAAGGGACTGTCTTTGTTCTTATTTTCGTGTTTGCGTTTGGTAACATGCAGGAAACAGGGCAGACCAAGGGATGCTTCAAGGACAAATAAAGACAGAGGCGGAAAAAATATCCATCCAAATCCATACAGTACACAAAGCCAATTCTAAAAGTCCAAATTAATCCGCTTCACTCTCATTTCAGCCACTCAGGGAAGAAACTTTTACAAAACTTTAACACCTCTGCCAACCAATGAAGGTGCACTTTACCTTCTACAGTGTTCCCTTCAAAATAAAAGTGAGATAGATTTATGTTGTGGAAATTGGCAATATTTTTGGAAGTGTGTATTGCCCTGCAAACAAAACAACAATTTAGGTTGTCCAACAGTCGTTTACAGGAGGGACTGCAGAACTTCTCTCTCTCTCTCTCTCTCTCTCTCTCACTCTCTCTGTCTTCCTTGCTCTCTTTCTCTCTCTCTCTCTATCTCTATCTCTCTCTCGTTCTCTCTCTCTGTCCTTGCTCTCTCTCTGTCTTTGTGTCTCTAGAATGTGATTGTTAGTAAATTCATGTCACGGGTGAACAGGTATGTGAGGGGGGGAAGAGCAAAAGGAGATCTTTGACTGATAAACAAACAATAAAATAAACCAGATGCTGTAAAATACCCTCCAGCTGTTTAAGAGATATCTTGGTCATGATAATGAGATGTTCATATAGTGACCTTGACCTTTGACCATTAAAATCCAAGCAGACCTTTGTGCCAAGATTCAGATAGTCCCTCCAGGCGTTCCGGAGATATGACAGTCACAAAAAGGAGGTGGACATAAAGGCGAACACAGAGTGTTTCTGAGACGTTATTACAGCAATAGCTATTTTTATTTTATTATTTTTTATTTATAGATTTTTTTAGTCATAGAGCACATTCCATCAAAGGGAAGCTCGATGTGCTTAACAATCGGAATAAAACATAAATGTGTGATCAGTATCTTCAACAGTACAATAAGATAAGAAATGTCTTCATTTTATTTATTCTGCAAAAAAAACATTTTCTTCTGAATGTGCAGCGTTTCTGAATATGCTGTGCATTTTTCTAAATGTTCTTCGTTTCAGCTGTTGCCGAGCGTGTGACCCCTACCGGCCACCGTAAATTTCCCCCATTAGAGATGATAAAGTTGACCTGAAACCTTTTGTGAATTTTACTTTGTTTTTATTTGACCACGAACACAAATGTGATCATCTTACAAGATGTAACAAACCAGTTTTATGTGGAAGATTTTATGTTAACACTTCTTACATACTTTATCTTTTATTGTCTAATTTGTTTTATTCTGTTTTTAGAAACTTATTTTTCCATAGTTGCAGAAATGGAATCATTTTATTGTACATGGTGTACAACATTTGTGTCCTTTTATTGATTAAACATTTTTAATGCAGGCCGTATGATCAACACTTGGCAACAGAAGACTGACGCTCACTGTAAGCCAGAATAATACAATGCTCGGTACTGCCCTCTACTGGCCGGGCCTAAAAGTGCATCATATTAGGACTCTACAGCAGCAGTTTGAAGCTCAGTTTTCAGCTTTTATTGTTTTCAATGTAGAAAATACAAACAAATGTTTGATACACATGGACAGATGAAAGAGAAAAACAGGGCTCAAGAAAAGAAAAAAACAGTACTTAAATGATAGGCACGTTGTAGCACATTGTACAAAATGTGAATCTGTAGCAGTTTGTCTGCTAACACGTGGACTCAGTGCATCCAGAAAGATGTGCAGGTTTCACTTAGAAATAAAATAATGGACGACACATTAAGCACTGAAAAAAGTGGTTTGGGTTGAACTCTGTAAGAATACATTCATCAATAAAACATGTAAATAAATAAATCATTTACTTATCATACACTGAAAGACATGTGTATCAGCTAGTTCATGAAATGATACATTAACTGGAATAATATCAATAACCCGTTAAACTGACAACAGAATTAAGATTGACATTTCAGACAAACGGATGATGTTCAGAAAAGCCCCGACGCAGATTCTGCCAGCGAGCTTCACATGCGAAGGTTAGAGCGCTGCATACACCATCAACTGTATGCATCCTATCATCCCTTACACACACACACACACACACACACACACACACACACACACACACACATATGCAGTCATACTCTCAAACACACATGGGCATACACATTGTCCGGCAGTCAGTTTACAGAGTTACATATATTTTCCACCACTCTGTTGAACGTCTCTGGTTCATCCGCATACACATGGTGAGAGGCATCATTTATCAGCTGTTAAAAAAAAAGAAGAATGATAAAAAGAGTGAACAACTTTTTAAGGATCACAGAAAGTTTCTCTTCTGAAGGAAAGTATTGAGCATTTAAACTGACAACGACTAGAAGCGACACATTCCAGATTCAGGATTAAAGAAGACTTCCTGCTTTGATTCCGTAATCCACTCACCTGAACTTTGGTGTATGCCTTTTCTCTGATCTGGACCACCGTGTCCCCAGATGAGCTGTCCACCCAGGATCGAGCTCCATACAGCATGGTGAGGGGCATAGACGGGGGCAGCAGGTGAACCCGCTGCAGCATGGGCCTCTTTGCCCAGCCCAGAGACTCTGACATGGCCCGGAAACCCACCTCACCACTGTGCGGATGAAGAGGAGAGGAACTGATGTTAAGAGCTATAGGGCAGATTTCACAGGCATCGTTCTCTTATCATAGACTGAGGGAAAAAAAAGGTGAACGACGTTACGGCTACCCTGAAGTGAAGCTAAAAGATTTGGAGCTCCCCCTACTGGCTGGCTGCAATAAAAGTCAGCCAGTAGGGATGTTCCAAACTAAAATCCACATCTAACAACCTTTTCCTTTAACATGGTTTCCCGTATTGGAGTCTGTGTCCAGTTATACGTTTTTTTTTGTTTTTTTGTTTTCTTGTTTACAAAGATCTGAGTTTTCAGCACTCAGCGTTCCTGTTGAAAATAGTTCACATTTTGGAACCCTGTCATGCTCCTCAATGTCACGTCTTCATCACCAACCAATCAAAATCAAGAAGGGGTGGGACTTCTGTTCTGATCTATTATATCTAACAATATTAACTACACGGAGCGATTTAAAAGAGACCCTATGGTCACTACTGAGGAAGGCAGGCATATTTCCTTGCCTGGTAACAGAAGGTGTCAGTGCGAAAAACACTTGGATATTGAAGTCTGCAAGCGCAAAGAAACGCTGTTATAACACAGGCCCTTATAGTTATTTCATATATTAATGATTTACGCCTGAGCGTTCACTTTTCTGAGAAGTTTAGTATTCATAACTTATTTCAGGAAGCTATAAAAACAGGGAAAAAGAGGAATCTGTTCTGTTGTTGACTCTACCCATCTGAGGGATCTTTGCCATTTTATCAGTAAGTTAAAAGTGTGTTTTGGTGAGCAGAAGGAACAGGACGTTAACACCGTAGCCTCTCCAGTCGACCCCTACTATGCAGACTCAGGCTCCATATACGCTTTATGTCAGCGCCTGTTGCAGAGGTGCTTTGGCT